GCGTACTTTTTGAATGCATGTTAATTAGTCTGTGTGTTTGTGTCTGTGCTTGCACATAGGTCTCTGTGTGCTCTGTTGCATGTGTGTGTGCATCCAGACCTCAGTATTGACAGTAGCCTAGTGAGATCTGGGAGGAGACCGGCCTTGTTAGAAAAGGCCTTGAACAAACAGAGCATAGACACGTCAGGGTAGCGGGAGGGAGCGCTGTGTTAGAGGGGGACTGCTGGACGGGGAAAATGCAGATGCATAGATTTGTTTGTGTGGGCTTTGCAGAGAGGAAGACCTAAATGATGGCGTTTCTGAGTTAAATACGGATAGATGGAGAAAACGGAATAAGTGCAACTAAGAGAGAAATGGTGACCAAGGGGGATTCGGGAGGTAGTGAAGCAGAGGGGGAAGGATATACCAGAGAAGGGAAGCATGAAGGGGGCAGATGAAGTCAGAATATAAAGCAAAAATGATTAAAGGAAGAAGAATTGAGGGGTAAGGTGCAGAGAAGGGTAAGAAGAGAAAATTGGGACTGATGGATAGGTGGGTTTAAAGGGAAGGAGGTAATTTTAGATAAGGGTGCAGGAATATGAAAGGAACACCACAGAGAGCAAAGGTTAGCTGTGATGGGGGGGAAAGAGACAACAAGGTCAAATGTATTTGAGTGAGATAAGAAAGAAAGACAAAACAAGAAGGAGAGAATTGTCTTTGTTTTGCACATTTCATTTCTCCCAGTTTTAGTGGAGGGGGGGGAGAGATGGTTAATATGTATGGCAGGATGTGCCGGTTGGAAGAAGCCAATCGATAACTGATAAATAAATGATCAGCCACAAAAATTCAAAAGGCACTGACAGAAACAAATGATTCAAGCCCTCGTGAGCTATCAGAGGGGGGTAAAAAGAAAGAAAGAAAAAGAAAGAAAGTGAGCGAATGGGTGCTTTAGTGTGCACATGGGCTTGGGGGTGGATACTTTTGTTACAGTGGAAAACATTCGGTGGCTCGGTTGTGTAGGTGTTGATGTTTTCACCGCGGCGTGACGGTTTTCACATGCTCATGTCCGGAGTGTGACATCAGAGGCCGTTTTCTGAGGCTTATCGTCTTTTACGTCAGGTGTCTGCTATCAGTTTGTGAGAAAACCCTTTCAGGAACGCGGACAATGAAAGTGTTGACTGGCTAATAAAAACAGTAAGTACAGGCAGTGTAAATAAAGATAGTTTGTATGAACAAATGAAAAGAATGAGAAATGACTTCTCGCCACACTAACACAGACATTTTAAGAAGGAAATTTTTTCTTTCTGCTTTTGCGCCTCTTGTACACTCGCTAGATGAAGTGAAAAACTGTGACTTTAGAAATGTTCTCCAAAGACTAGACATTTAAAACCCCATCTGTTCATAGATTGTTGTAACTTTGTAAACAAGTAAACCGAGAGGATGAGAAAATATGACGTACCTTTTTCACACGTCGTTTTGTTTTGTCGGCTTAAAGCCACAGCAACAATGGCACAGTTTTAACTATTTCTCCCAGTTATACCTGGACTCCTCTCCACTGTATAAGTTTATTCTGTTTGCATGTTTTGATTAAACATGAATATTTCACACAGTCAAACTATTAAGTTTTACACGCAGCTATCCAAACTTAAATTATTCTATGCCGGAAAGTGATTATCAACTAAACCCAATAGTTGATTGTTTCACTCTTTGTGGCAGGAACTGCCTTCAGTCGCTGGCACTGAGTATTTTATGTCTCTGTGGAGGAAGTTGGACTTGTGCCCCAGTCTTCCTTGTTTCATTTGAGGCACAAGAAAAAACGATCTGTTCAAGGTCGTGAAAATAACTTTTCAACTGAAATTAATACCCAAGAAATGACCAAAGTGTACTTAAGCTTAAGGTCGCCAACTCATGACCAAAGATTCTCCTTCGGGATTTTCTGGGAAGAGATTTCATGACACCATAATGCGTTTTCTCCACCACTGCAGAAAACCCAGTTGTTTCGTCTCAATAAATACCTTTGTATTCATTTATTCATTCTCCAAGCTGTCAATAGGGCGCTGGCATCTATACAGTCGTCCTGCAACAGGCATCACAAAATAAACCTTCTAGTGAAGCACAAAGGGAAACACAAGAGTGGAGGGAGAAACAAAATGTAAAAGATTTGACTAGATATCACTGCAGTGATGTTCAAATGTTTGAAAGAATGTCGAGGAACCATCTTTATTTTTATTCATAAGGTTCTGATTTAACTTAAGGTGTACATTTTACAATGTCTAAGCTTTTTATAAAACAATGCTCTAACTACTGCTTCACTAAGCCCCTCTCCTCTTGGATAGAGCAGCATGACATGGCTTAGCGTGTTTCAATGTGACATTTTGTCTGTTTACATTATAAAAGCAGCCATACAACCGACCCTCATCGCACCATTCCCGGCTCCCTTCACTTGTATGTCCATGGGACAATGGTACAGTTCGGTCACAGCGGAACTACGGGTGTCACGCAACACGGTCCATTGACTGGAGGATGGAAAAACATCCCCGTTTTCAACAAGTACGAGACGTACTGTGTGTGTCATCATGCTAGTGCCTGTGATTGCACAAGTATGACGTGCATTAGGTGTTTACATTTAACCCCGTCCACCCAGTGAGAGTCCAACAGGGGATGGAAACACTTCTGAATACACCGAACCATAAACTAGCGTGCCGAACTGCATCGACCCGTGCCGTACCGCTCCGTGAAAACAAGGCAGAAAGGTCCTTTCTGCTGAAAACTGATGTCAAACAAGCATACTGCTGAGTGAATGTTTTTCAAAACTCATTTGTTTTCTAATTTAATTCATTGAAATCTTTACTTTATATCATGTTTAGCCAGGGTAATACATTTTTTTTGTAATAAGCTGTGCGAAATAAAATTGAATTTATGAAATATAAATCACCGAGTGAATTACGGAAAAAGAAAAACACTAAACTGATTTTGTGATTAATAAAACATCACATGTTTGTATATGTATTCAGTATAACTATAACATCTATACTTGGTTAAGTCAAAACAAGCCCTTGCAGGGAACTTTGCTATAGAAATGAACTCCATATTAATACTTTACAGCTGAATAAATCAGAATGCAGCAGAAAATACACAATAATTCATACACGTGCTACAACAAAACTGTTTCTAATACTTGTCACTTTCATCTAACTTTAAAATGACAAACTGATCTAATTTAGGTTCCCTTTTAGATTTTCTAATTAGTTTTGTTTTGTTTGACAAGAGAAACATTTACATTTGACTACACACATGCTCTGGTATAAACACCAGTGCATGACTTCACTGTGTGTGTGTGTGTGTGTCTGCGTGTGTTTGCGTGGGTGACAATAAAAGCTGCTGACAGGCAGTTGTGATTGGCTCCCTCCTCAGTCTCTAGAGATGGCCGTCTGAACGGTGCCAGTTTGACGCCAGACAGGCGGCACACTGTGTGCCTGTGTGTGTGTGCATTGTGCATTAATAAGTGTGAACTACATTAGCGTTTAGATTAAGAAGAAGTTGTTTATGTGCACATAATGGCCTGACCTTTGATTGTGTATCTGCATGGGTGTGAAGCGCCAAGTGACGATGAGATTGTCCACATTGCAAGATCCCACATTTGTGTGATTGTGTGCTCATCACATTCCACCTCCCACCATCACTTCTCATTTTGTTCATGTCAGACGTGAATTTGTCCCTTCAGGTCCAGGTTTGAATGTTCTTTTGTGTCATTATAGCAGGGTTTCCTGTACAGCAAGTCATCATAGTGCCTGTCTGAGAAGTACATAAGAAAGTCTGTCAAAAAACTGTCGACATTTAAAATAATCTAATTGCTGCCGAAATCTGCTGACTATAAAAAGATAGCGAGGGATTTTTTTTTCAAAGAGAAGTTATATATATATATATATATATATATATATATATATATAATATAAAGATATTACACTGAGAAATGAGGTTTGGAATGTAAAATAACTTACGGCATCAAAATGTTTTTGTCACCTTATTTCCTCCCATTTTTGATTGTAGGCACACTAACATTACCACAGTCTTGTTATTCAGCACATTGATCATGAAAATCAACACTGAGGACAAAAAATATTTACTGCGGCTGCTTTGCTGATTAGAGCATCGAAATCCAGTTGACAATAGCTTGAAATATAAAAATATGGGGAAAAATCATGCAAGAATAGAGGAGCAACAGTATGACTGTAACGGGAAATTTGAATCGATGGGGAAACAAGAGGGAGCAACAAGATATCATCAGGTCAAGTAAAAACCAGCCGGCAGGAAAAGGAGTGCCAGACTCTTAAAACATGAAAGGGAGAGTGGAAGCGTGGGCTACACATCTCCATGAATCACTGCTCAGTGCTGCGTAGTTGTGCTCGAAACCGTTTTCGGGTAGGGCTCGCTGGAGTGGGAGCATCTTTGGGAAGTGACAAAGTATGATTTTGGATTACAGCAAGATTACAAGATAACATGTGAGCAAGCCGTGGAGGCAGGTTTTCTTTGAAAACAAAGATTTTTTTTTTTTTTGACTCCAGTAAAAAGTTCTAACGCCAGTCAACATATTTGGTTTAATGATTAACTTCTGTAATGTGGTAGAAAGCCAGCGTATAAAAACTAGCAGGATTTTGAACCCAAATCTCTCTTGCTGTGAGGAAACGGCGCCAACAGCTGCCCCACTGTGCAGCCTGTAGTAAGATCTCGTAACAGGAAATAGTGACAATTTGTGAAGCACAACTCCAAAGCAAACAGCTTCAACTAAAAACCTAACAAAAAAAAAATACAAGTTTGTCTCTTCTCTTTCAATTTTTACACTACAATGAATCTTGTAAATATATGCCCAGCCCTGGTGAAGTTTCCAGTAAGCTTGTTGTTGAAGACTGTAGCAACGGCAAATGTCCAGTTGGACAGAAACTTTTAAAGAGATTCTGATAAGTGGGAATCACTGAGGCCGACTTCTAAGAGATGATTGTTTTGCTGCCCCCTTGTCACAGAAACTGAAGGGAAAAGACTGGCTGAGGCGTTCATAACCACAGCGTCCAACTGGTTCCTCCGTGGAGGAGGACTCGGCACCCTGATGAGTTCCTCCTAAGCGTCCCACGGAGTCGGAGCACAAACAAGGTCTGACTTCACTCCATCCCAGAAGTTTGCTGAACTGTGTCGAGTCTGAGACTTTAAAGATACTTTTGGTTAGGAACTCATGGTTCTTAAACAGTGTGTAGATGTAAAACAAGGTTGACTGGGATGAGAAACATGATGAATGTCAACGTCAAGGCAAGAAAACATGGTGTATTGCAAAATATTTCAAATTAATTCAAATGGACAAGACTCGGGTAAAAGAAAGCAAAAGGCATGGCATGCCAAAAAGTTAGAGAAATTTAGGGCTTAGGTTTGGTTAGTCTGCAATATATGTAGAGCTGTTTGGCTTAAGTAGGATATATTTATGCATTTATTCAAATGAGGGGACAGAGTTTTCTCTGTGGTCAGAGGGCAGTGCTTGGGGGAGGGAGTTCACATCTGCTTCACACAAACGAGTCTCAAACCTTAATGAACAGTCAAACCAAGTGTTCCTCCCCCTGAGCGCTGTTCGGACCAACTCGCATCGTATCATGAACCAACACAGGTCAGGATGACAAATTTCATAGCAGGCAATATGGAGGATGTTGGAGAAGCCTGAGATGATATGCTGAGGATTATTACGACATGATTTAACATCCGATTCTATTTTACTGGTAGATATCCCAAGCAGAATTTGGTTCCCCTGTTTCGGCACAACTTGCTTTCCGTTGTAAGCGGGGAGTTGAGCTGTGGTTGTGCTCTTATTTTGAAATGCGTGGCTTTTTTGAGGTAGGCATTGCCTGCACTGGGTTGTGTTTATTTGAGCAGGTTGTGAAGAGCTTTTGATTAAAAGGAGACCAGCTCCCGCACTCCAAAGACATTCTGCGCGTTTCATTGTCCCGGCACGTCACTTAAAGTGCTAATAACTCACACGGTACGCCCTCTTGTTGATGTGCCGAAGTTCGCTTTCTCTCAGGTCACTGCACTCTGACCAGAGCCGCCCTGCAGAGAAAAACTCCCCTCCTTCATTTGAATATAAGAACATAAAGTAGTAGTCCATGAAGCTTTACAAAATAAGTCACCACTATAAAATAAACTAAATGCATAAATAAGTCCTGAAATAAATGAATAAATGTTGAAACAAATTAAACTGTGATCGACAAAGTAAGCTTCACATTAAAACATATTTTGTATATTTATTTTGTTTATATTTTCTGGAGATACTTATTTGATGGAGTATTTACAACTTATTTTTCAATAACGGTATTTATTGATTTCATTTTAAATGAAACAACTCTCCAGACTAATATTGTGTGCCAGTGTCTCATAAAGTGATAGGATAAAAATTCTGGAGTTGCATTTTTTTACTTCAAAAGGTTCATGTTTCATGTAAGATTGTTGAATTTACCTTCTGAAATGTCAAAATCAGGACATCTTTTTTTTTCTCGCAGTACGTAATTAATTACCGTAAATCTATGTTCCTTTTTCAATTTAATCCAGAGACAAGTTGCTGGAAAAATAACTGACTGCTCTGTTTGGGGTTGTATTTGTCAAGGAGCGTGGTGGTGGTGGTGAGAATGAACGCAGGAGGCCCAGATGAAGATGATGAATTTAATGATGAATGTTGCTCAAAAACAGTCCAGTCAGGCAACAATAGCACACAGCTAATAACAGGTAGCAACTGACAACTAGGTGACTGAATTCGGGAGCTAAGGCTAAGCAGGACTTTAAACAGTGCGACTGGAGAGCTTGGCGGAAGACGTACAACGAACGACGAGGATCTGACAAGGAACACAGACAACAGGTGGGACTAAATGCACTGGGAGGGTAATCACAGGAACGAGACACAGCTGGGATCAATGAACAGGGAAGACGCAGAAACAACAGAGACTCACAGGACAGAAACTGAACACAGAAAAACCTTAAAATAAATACACAGAAACACGGATCATGACAATATTGTTATGTCTGTTCCTTCAGATAATCAAATCCAGCAAAAAATAAAAATCAAAATTTCTCACATACAGCAAAATTAAGCTAAAAATACAATCTTTGGGCAAGATTGACATTTAAGTTAACTTAAGAACAATGAAATCAGTTTGAGACGTGTGACATTCAACAGGGTCAAAGTGTGCTATTCCTAATCCTGGGAGATAGACAAGATGATCTTGTTTATTTGACCTTCATTTAACCAGGGCCAGTCTTGGTGATATATACAATTTTATGGAGCAAGAGTGTGTTGTGACTGTGTGACGAAGATACTTCACCTCTGGACTGTGGTAGAGGGAGTGGCAGTGAAGGAAAGAGACGGGTGTGTGTGCGTGTTTGTGTGTGTGCAAGACACAGGGCTTTGCTTTCACGCCTTGCTAAGCAGTGAAAGAGTATCGGTCACAGAGGGCAAGCCAAAAGACAGAGCGTAAAAGTTGAGGCAAAAGAGACACACAGGGGGGAAAAAAGGAGCATAGAGAGGAGGAAGAGCAGATAGTGAAAGAGTTTTTCTAAAAGCAGCTTCTGTCTTCTGTCCCACCCCCTGAGTGTCTTCCCCTCCTCTCTGTCAGGATGGGAGGGAAAGGAGTGCAGCAGGAGAGACGGAGGACGAGCTCAGCCGTGCTCGCTCTGTAGCGCAGGACCCGGGGATTCCAGGACCTTTTGGTAGTTGTGAGCACGCAAACACTCACGCAGAAACACGGCTGTGATACAAATCTGTACAAGGCTCAGAGACGGAGTGAAACGGGGAAAGAAAAAAGCTCAGAAAAAGAAAGTAAATAACAGCTCTTTTCTGTGGACTATCTGACCATGACGGCACCTGCTCAGGGGGAAGTGGTTCAGAGGGGCTGAGGACTGAAACGGGACGCAGGCAGAGGGAAGCCACTGATGAAGGTGAGAACGGGATTTAATTGCATAATCCGTGAAGCTCCCGCATCCTTTTGCTTTTAGGATTATTTTAGCTCAGACAGAGATATTTATAGAGATGCTCTCTCTATTTTTAAACAAACCATTTATAGCTCTGAATTAAAGCCACAGTGTGTTGATGCTGGGAATACCCTGTTCAGGTGTCGGCTGTAACGGATTACACTTTACACATCAGGGTCACTGAAATGTGAAACACTTATCCTGGAAAAGTGCAAGAGGATTTATCTTTGAAGGGACAAACTCTCCTTTGGAAGATTCCTTGTGTTTGTGTTTGTTCATGTTGATTTCATAAGTAAGGGAAATACCTGAGGATAAACTAGGGACGGAAAATAGTTTCCATGCTTGCAGGGGAACGTGTGCCTGGGATGTGTTATTTACATCCACCAGTGGAAGTGAAGGATTCAGAGGCAGCTTTTATTACTTTTGCAAGCAGTTTTCAGTTGTTTTTGTTACATACGATGCTAAAGTTATATAATGTGGTCTTACAGGACTTTTATGTAAGTTTCTGATCTTGGCATGGTTGAACAATTGCACGTTTTTGCAGTGTTGACTGTTTAATCTGAAAAATTTCTTCGTTGTTGATTTTTTTTTTACACCTGCTAGGACTGTGTTTCACCTCTCTTTTCCTTATTCTTACCCTCATCCTAATGCATTCTGGGTTTTTCCCCCCAGTCTCATTACTACTGCATTTTCTCCAGTCTTACAAACAGCAGTGTCTTATCCCATGCCACACTGCGCTCCTCTGCCGTCCCACCCCTGCCTCCTCTTTTCATCTTCACCATCTTTTCTTTCGCTATTCACGTACCTATATAAAGACTTTCTGTCTGTTCTGCCTTTTGTGCGATGCCGTGCTTTTTGTTATTTCTTGTCACTAAGCATCCTCTCGTTTTGTGTGCGAGGGAGTGGGTTTTTGGCTTACACGTGCATGCTTTGTCAGTCATACAGCAGTCCCCCACCTCACCAGCCCAAATGCATTTTGCACACTAACTCCTCTATTACCATACCTTGGTGCCTAAACATTAACCCTTGTGTGGGTCTAAAAAGAAACTGTCAAAGTTACTTAAGTGGCGTACTTTTTGGGTGCTACTATTTACAATGCTTTTAATCCACAGAAGAAAAAAAATAAGCCTTCCAAAAAGAACAACCGCAAAACATCCTCAAGTTTTTTCCAAAATGCTATTATGCTGTCATTTGCTGATTTCCCTTTTGAAAAATATTTCCACAATGACATGGCAGTGCGACTGGTTTGACACGTCTGTGGAGGAAACAGACAAGACGCCACAGGATTTATTCCACAAACATTTCAATTTGAAAAAAACGCTCCCCAGATCAATAGTGGGGCATTTATTTTCATTTTGGTTTTACTTTTCAGGTGCTCCAGTTCACTGCATGTTATTTACATGATTTCTCAGATTTCTACACATAGTGTCTTTTTGATAAAAACAAAACCAAAAAAAAAAAACCTATGCACTCCTTTATGAGGTACACCTTGCAGGGCCCAGTTTGGAGCCAGGTTTGCCTTCAGAACTGCTTTCATTCTCTGGCTCATAAATTCAAGAAGGAGTCAGAAACATTCATTAGACATTTTTAATCCATATTGACAAATCTCCAATCAATCACATTCCAAAGGGAGCCATTGGAGTACCATGAAATTATTTTCAAGACATTAGTTTTTGATGATTTGAGTTTTGTGACAACATGCGATATCTTGCTGGAAGTAACTATCGGACAACAGGTACACTGTGGTCTTAAAAGCAGTGATACTCAGGTTAGATGAGCCAGATTTAAACAGTGCAGCATTGGTACAAAGGGGCTGTAAGGCACCCAAAAAATACCCCCCAACACAGTCTAAGTCTCTGGACGGATCCATTCTGAATGTCGTAGCTGAAATCGAGACTCGTTAGACGAGCCAGCAGTTTTCCAAACTGTTATTTTCTAACTTCAGTGAGATTGTGGGGATTGTAGCTTCGGTTTTCTGTTACTAGCTGACATGAGAGGCACCAAATGTTGTAGCCTATTGTTTCAAGATTTGGCCTGCATATTTGGTATTCCAAATACTTTGATTCTGACAAGTTGTTGTTTAAGCTGCTGTTGTCTTACTATCATCTTGAAACAATCTGTCTAATTTTCCCTGACATCAAAATGTCCCCACAACTGCTGCTCACTGTTCTTTTCCCCTCTTTCTTTTCCTGACTATTTTCTGTAAACCTGAAATAATTGTGTGAAAAATCCGAGTATATGAGAAATTTCTGAACTCTTAAGACCATTTCTCCATACAGCAAATCCCCTTTCCTTTCCAGCCTGCTACTCATTTTATATCAGTAAGTTCTCCTCACCATGGTATCCATCAATTAGTGGGAAAAATTAGCAAGTGGTTAAGTAGGAACAGCACTAGTTTATAAGGAAATGCTCCTCATTATTGGCTGAGAATCTAATGGGGACACCAAAAATGTCAGACGTGGCTAAATCTCGTCCTTTTTAAACCTCCTGGCAGAAGCTTGTTACAAGCCAAGATGATAAGTACAGATAAATAATTGCGTCCTGTGCCCTTCGAAACATCTGCTCTGTTTTTTTTCTAACCCAACATACTAATGGGTCTGCTGCAGTTAGGCCATTTTAATCAGGTAAATTTATCTTAGTAAACTTTGTCTTTTTGAGATGCTTACCTACAAGAAAATAATGCCTTAACTGCTTATTGTGAAATGTTTGTTTTGAGTAAACGACACAAACTCATAGGTCCGGGTATTACCCTATATCTACACCTAAAGTGAGTATAGCAAACACACTTAGCCACACTTAGGTGGCTGGGTTAAGGTCTCGCTCAGGACAAACAGCTTTGGTATATCGAACGAGACATGCAGTGGACATAACTTTTATCTCATGTACCACATGGTCACATGCTGCGCAATCCTGTTACGCTGCAGAGCTGCACAGTGGACATTTATTTAACCCAACAATCCTCCGGGTTCAAGGTGGGTCTGCTGATTGCCTGGTGATGAATCGACCACCGAGCTGACTTTACGGTTAAAGTACCTCTAGACTGATCCGCTGTCACACCCTAAAACCCATTAACCCCTAGTTCAACTCTGGCTCTGCAGAAAAGCACATTGACCTGCTTTAACCCTTTGCTCAGGTGGAAAATTGTCCACCAAGTCAGCAGAAACCAGCTAGCATGTTGTGCACAACAAGCACAGAAAAGTTTAGAAGATGTATACATGTGTCGTAGTTTCTAATGAGATATTGCTCGTCTATAGCTCTATCTTGGTTGTCTGTTTGCTTGTTTGCCTGCAATGTCACTTTTCCTTTGTTTGAAATGTTAGAATGTCTCTGCTCTCTTGAAATATTGACTTTTTCGCCTATAGCCAGAGGGGACAGACTGCAGAGGAGGTTATCCCCTCATTCAAATAAAAAGCAAAAGGCTGTTAGCATCAAAGTTTTATTAGCTTCTTTTTTTAATATTCAGTTTTTGGTTTTCTTTTACTAGCCTTTTGATTTAAAGGAAAATGCTTAGATGCCTTAGCTAATGAACAGCATAATTAGTGCATTTTTTTTTAGAGAGGACATGGTTTGCGAAGTAGCACTTAAACTTTTTTCACATTTTGTTACATTTCAACCACAAACTTCAGCGTATTTTGTTGCTATTGACCAACACAAAGTACTGCACAACTGTGATGTGGAAGGATAATTAAGCATGGTTTAAATTTATTCACTTGTCCCCCATAAAAATCCTTAATGGTGTCCATATGCGTTTAGACACTAAAGAAAATCGAGCACAACCGACTGCTTGAAGAGGAATATTTTCTGCTCTTTTCCGGGATGCTGGAGCTTATTGTTCGCATAAACTATGTTCCAACCTGACTACCTTGTGATTTCCTCTATGCAAAATGTTTTTCTTGTCATATCCTGTGACACTGAAGCAAGCAGTATTTTCAAAGAAGCCGTCCAGTTGCAAATTTTTTGATTACCCTTCCGCAGGCGTTGTGAAAATAAACGACTCATGCCTTGAAGTTGTTATCTGATACATGAGGATGGCCTAGTCCACTGGATGGATGGATGGTTGGGCAACAATAGAGTTGAGCCCTGGGTCAGCAAAGGCAGTTTCCCAATCCATCACTTTGTTGCAACAAGTAGATAAAATGGTAGGATGTTTCGTGACTGATGTTCAAGTGTAACCTTTTTATGTGGGTGGAGCTTCTCAGACAAGAAGGAACACATGCACACATTGTGTTTGTGTTACTTGAGTACATTCAATTTGCATAGCAATTTTCACAGATAGAAACCACAAAGTGCTTTGCAGATAAAACAAGCTAAAGCACAATGACACACAGATAAAACATTGCACACAATAAAACATCAAGTTAATTAGTTAAAAGCTTTCCTGTACAAAAAAAAAAAATGTCTTCAGCAGCTTTTTAAGGGTTGGTGGAGTCAGAACGATGCAAGAAAAGCGGGACTGAGTTCCACCGAGAGTTTGGGTTTATCAACAGAGTCTGACCCCTTCATGTTAGTGCATGGGAAGAAGAATGGGGGTTTCCGCAGGGGCCTTGACAAAGTAGGACCCTAAAAGTTAAGACCTAAATCTTAAAATTAAATCTTAAATTTACAGGCAACAAATGAAGAGAAACCACGCCTAGAGCAATATGCCGTCTTCTGTTGGTGCCTGTTAAAAGTCTTGCTGCAGCATTTTTCATGGGCTGAAGACGATCAAAAGCTGATTTATTTAAACAGGTTAAGACTGTTACAATAACCTGAACACGAAAAGATAAAAACGTGGATAATTACCTCAGCAGTCTGAGTTTTGAGCTGTTTCTAAGGT